ATATTAGTTTGCTATCACTGGAATAAAAACTTTAAAACTTTGCATTGTAAAACTTGGAAGATACATGCTTCCAAGAAAGGGGTGGGGGAATCAGAAGACTTTGGACTTGAGTAGCCCGTGCTACAAATGATTCTTAAAATGCAGTTATAAATGCTGTATATTTAATTTTTTAAACAACTATTAGAAATCCTTTCTTCTTACCCACCCACTTCAGGCAAAATCTAATGAAGAATCGGGGGATTCACAGCAACCAAGCCAGCCTTCCCAGCAGCCTTCAGTGCAGGCAGCCATTCCCCAGACCCAGCTTATGCTGGCTGGAGGACAGATAACAGGGGTAAGTTTTCACTGAGAAAATTATAATAAACTTCCTCTAGGTCAGAACTGCCCTTAGCGGATACCATACCTAGTCAGAACCACCTACTGGAACTGGCAGTAACATGTCACTTTTGTGTCTTTTTCAAAACATCCTATACTCTAAACCCATAGCATTCAGGATTTCTTTTGTTACAATTGCATATGCTCTGAATAGAGTAAGAACTCTACAAACCCATGTTTCAGGGGTGGCTTTATCATGTTATAGAGTCATTATTACATGCTCAAGAACATTACATTGATGAAGTGGCAGTTTTCAGTTTGGAGTTATGCCATTGTTGAAGGATAGAAGTTAAAGAATAGATTCTAAAGTAAAACTTACCATCTTATATCCTGGCCATGCATCTTACTACAGGAACAAATTAATTACTTCATCTTGTTATGCTCGATTTTCCTTTTGTTAAATGGAGAGATTGATAAACCTATCTTAAGTACTCTTATATTAGAGATAATATATGTAAAGTTCATAAAACAATATTTGGCACCAAGCAGTCAGTAAATGTCATTTACTTTTACTAGTAACAAATTGGCCTGAGATTCCACTGAGCTTTTAACCTTTTCCCTAAGACACAATTCCAAATAATTTTCCAAAATTAAAGTTTATCTTCTAAATTATCCAAAAGGAGAGAGGGAAGTAGTGAGAGTAGAAGGGAGATAAGAAGGGAAGAAAATGGTAAGGAAGAGTTTTTATTCCATTTGTATCATTTCAGTCTGCAGGTTTATTTTCTGGCATTGAAAGACTTTGTTTTGCCTGTTTGGTTTTTTGAGACAGGATCTCACTGTGTAGTTCAGGCTGGCCTCAAACTTACAACGATTCTCCTGCCTCAGCCTCCATGCACCACCTTAGTGAAAGGCTATGTGTGTGTGTGTGTGTGTGTGTATGTGTGTGTGTGAGTGTGTATATTTTGTGCAGGGTCTCACTGCACAGCTCAAACTTGTAGTGATCCTCCTGTTTTCAGCCTCCCCAGTGCTGGGATCACAATTGTGCGCCACCATGTCCAAACTCATTCAGGGGCTTAGAGTGCCCAGGGGGAGGTCTGACACAGCATATGGTGCCAGGGATTGAACCCTGGCCACTGCGCTTGTTTAAGCAGGCACTTAGTCTGATGAACTATCTCGCCGGCTCTGAAAGGCTCTTTTAAGAACTGTTCCAAAATTGTTTATAAAATCTCATCAGTAGAGATTAATATATGTGTCTTATATAAAATAAAAACATACACTTTTTTAACAGCTTGATTTTTCACTATGGTTCTGATGCACAGATTGTATTTGGACCCTTTTGAAAGAAGAGTTGTGCTGCCAAGTAACAATTTACACACATCAAATGTTCCAGTTCCTTCTTTTTTTTTTTTTTTTAATTTTTTTTTAATTTTTTTTATTTGTGTGTGTGTGTGTGTGTGTGGCCAGCTCAGCCCACCAGGGGGCGGGGCTGGCTGGCATGTGGTGCTGGGGGATTGAACCGCGGTCCCTGTGCTTTGCGAAGCTTGTTCTAAGTAGGTGCTTTAGACCACTGAGCCATCTCACCAGCCCCTCCAGTTCCTTCTTGTTTGATGTGTCATCAAAAGGAAGTTTCTGCATACTACTTTGACTTAAGCATATTATGAATAAGTTGCATTATGAAAGCAAGTGTAAGCTGGGGAGATGGCTCAGTAGGCACAAGGGTCTGAGTTCAATCCCCGGTTCCTCCAAAGAAAAAAAAAGAAAGAATGCAAGTTTAAATCTGTTCTAAATACATTTTGCAAGTTGGGTTTTATTTCTGTTGACTAGGGTCTACAATAGTGAGAGGCACTTGGGATTCCAGGTTTATGTGGCTGAAGCTGCTATTAAAGCTGGACTTTAAGCTACATTTGCATGTAAAGAGAGAGGCTGTTGCCACCTGTTTTATAGAGATAATGTGTTAGAAAGGGGATGTGAAGTTGCAGACTCCAGTGCTTTCAGTAACAGAAAAGATTGTGTTAGGGAGGGGTCTGCTGGGAGACTTGGAAAAAAACAAATGGAGCTCTTATTCTTTAGTCACATCTTAGGACATAATGGAAATGATGGAACATGGCAAGGTTTCATGCTAATGGAAAGCAGCTGGGCCTTATCAGTTCTTTTCACGGTTATATCCAGTGTCCTTGTTGCTCCTTCATCTAACTAATCTCTTGCTGTTCTGTTGGGTGTAAATTTCTTTTCATATCCTGTTAACATTGATTCCTTTTTTTTCTTGCTTACTAGTTAACTACTTGTATTGCCTGAACCCTAGGGCCCTAGACAAGCTTGAATGATGAAGTCCAAAGTAAGGACTACCACTTTCATTTCAGTGTTCTGCTAGGAATAGTTTGATCATTGATGAACATCTTAGCTGATGGTAACCAGTACCACCAGTTACCATCAGTTAGGTTGAATAGTTAAGTCCTACAACCACTTGAGTTAACTGTTTTGAAGCAGCAAACTTGCATTAGGCACCCAGTTCCTTCAGCCTTCCCACCATGTGTTCTCCTTTTGTTTAGCTCACGTTGACACCAGCCCAGCAGCAGTTACTACTACAGCAGGCACAGGCACAGGCACAGCTGCTGGCAGCTGCAGTGCAGCAGCATTCTGCCAGCCAGCAGCACAGTGCTGCTGGGGCCACCATCTCCGCCTCCGCCGCCACGCCCATGACACAGATCCCCCTGTCACAGCCCATCCAGATCACCCAGGTGAGGAAGGGGCTCGGGGCCTGGGGAAGCAGGCCAGGAAAAAAACAGCAGATTTTATGAATTAAATAATGAATCTAGTTAATCTAATTAATAATCTAGTTTTATGAAATATTAAAGTAACTTTGTGATTGTTGATATGGGCCCTAGATCAGTGAAGTAAATGGTACCCTTTCCTTAACGTTGAATTAGAAGTAATATATTTGTTTGCTTATTTGAGTTGGTATTGTAAACACAGGCTAATTATTTGAATAACTGACTGTTTATGTAAAGTGACAATTCTTGAATAAGTAACTGCTATATTCTGAAGCAGAGGATTGCTATATTTATCTTAATGAGCTAATTACAGCAAGGAGGGGTTCTTTCATTTGCTCTGCAGTAAATGTTGCCACCCATGTGTAAGAGAGACAGGGAGTCATCGCTGCTTTGAAATGATTAGCACTGTGAAGAGCTGCAGTAGACTCTCTTTTGTTTTTATTTTGTACATTTTTGGGCAAAGCATCCCAAGGTAATAAATTTAAGAGGTGCAGACATATAGGACCAATGAGAAAAATAAGTGAAATCTTTTATCTTAAAAAGAAGAAAAAGGGTCAAATGTGATAGCTCTTGCCTGTGATCTCAAAACTCTGGGAAGCTGAAGTGGAAGAACCATAAATTCAACCCCATCCTGGCTAACTTAGTGAGACCTATCTAAGAATAAAAAAGGGTTGGGAATATACCTGATTGTGAAGGCCCTAGGTTCATGCCTAATCCTGAGAGAAAGAAAGGAAAAAAAAAGAGAAGTAGTTATTTAGTAAAATATTTGAGGAGTTAATAATGAATCTAGTTCTAGATAACTCCCCTCCAGAAAAGACTCAGATATAGACTTAATCACAGTAAGTGAAACACACTGAGCGTGAGGGACATAAAAACATGCTCAATAGAGACCCTTCTTTGATTTTGATGTGACAGAAGTCATTAGCTGGAAATCTTATAATTAAGCAAACTTACTTTCAAAATCTCCAGTCTGTTTTAATTCTGCCATTTCAGGATCTTCAGCAATTGCAACAGCTTCAACAGCAAAATCTCAACCTTCAGCAGTTTGTGTTGGTGCATCCAACCACCAACTTGCAACCTGCGCAGTTTATCATCTCCCAAACGCCCCAAGGCCAGCAGGGTGAGTGGTTCTCCAAGCTCCAAACACTAGTGTATCACTGTTGGTTTCATTGTATACAAAATTCATATACAGTTTTCATTGTATATGTTGGTAGGGTACAGTGTGCTATTTCTATAATGCATACAATATATTAATCAAATACCAAGTCTTCATTGTTTCTGGGATTTTTACTTTTATTTCTTTTATCTTTTTTCTTCTTGTATATTCATTCCAAAATTATGTAAAAACATTTTTAATGTATGTTCAAAATGAAAGTACTTACAATCTAGTGCCAGAGAAACAGACCTATTACAAAATACTGGATTTGATGTGCACAGAATGCTATGCAAACCCAGGAAAGACCTTTTGTACTTTTGTAACCAGATAAGCCTTCACAATGAATTGAGAGAGTGCCTTCATACAAGTATAAAGGAGAGAATGTCAGTCTTACAAAAGGAAAAGCATTTGCAAAGCTTGGAGTCATGAAAGAAAAATTAGTAAGCTATGTTTGAGAACTGTAATTCCTTAAAAGGAGAATATAAGGGTGCAGTTGTGAAACTTACGGTCAAAAAGATTAGAGACCAGGGGCCAGGGAGATAGCTTAGTGGAATAAGTGCTTCCCTAGCAAGTGCAAGGGTCTGAGTTCAATACCCAGTTCTGAAAAAAAAAAAAGATTAGAGACCAGATCATTAAAGCACTTAACAAGAGTTTGACCTTTAGTCCAATAGCTTAATAGTTGACATAGTTCATTTTGTGTATTTGTCCCTTGAAAAACTAGAAAAATAGTCTAAGCCCCAAATTTAAACTAGCCTTTTAATCCTAACCCTAATTTGAAAGGCCCAATGCCTTCACATACAGGAAACCTCTTGTAAACTATACAAAACTATAGCAAGTTGAAATAGAAAGGTGACATTCTCACTTTCTATTAAGAAAGCTGACCATAAAACTTGGGAAGGAAAAATTAGATGGACAAAAATACTGGTTAGGAGAACAATGCAGTGGTCCAGTTGAGATGTTATAAGGGCTGAATTATGGTTGTGGGCCTAGAAAGAGATGACGATTTGGTAGGTAAAAAGAATGTGGTGGCCAGTTGTACTTGGTTTTTTTAGGAAAACTGTGAAGGTTAATGGGTGAGGAAAACACTTATATAATAATGGAAGATCCTTAGTTTAAAAAAAAATTCATGTAAGTATAGGAGGAATAAGTAGACACCAAAAGGAGATACTGTGATTTTAGAGGTCAAAACTAGTGAAGAGTTGTAATAATGGAAGAGAATTCCAAGAAGGAAGGAAGAAATGGTCTTGACCAGAAAGATTAGGTCAGTGCTGAAGTGTATATATCAGATTTGGTAATTGTTAAAGCTTTAAGATTGAGTGAGTTACCTTCATTTTCTTTTGGCAAAGCTAAAAGCCTCGTCTTTGGACTTCATTTTATTTGAAATAATGGAGCTCAAAGCTGAGCATGGTGCCACTTGCATATAATCTCAGCCTTCTGGGAAGCTGAAGCAAGAAAATCACAAACAAATTCAATCCAGCCTGGACAACTTAACAAGACCATGCTCAAAATAAAGAGATGAAAAAAATAAATAAAAATAAAATAAAATTTTTTTAAAAGGGATGGCTAAACATTTGAAGTATAATTTGTATTGTTGAATATTTAACTTCTAGCAGGTGAAATCTAGGCCATTTTCCCAGAGTCTCTCTTTCCCTAGGAAAATTCTTATTGATGCATTTCCAAATTTGAGACATAACTTACTAGAGATTTTAGTCTGCCCTTTCTATTCATTTGACTCTTCCTTAGCTGAGGTAGAGGGCAAGGAAGGGGACAAGGAGTGGTCTTCATGTAAGTTTTAAGTCTTTCTGGGGCTTTTCACTTTTTAGTTAACTTATTACTATTTTTGAATATTCTTGGGCCATTATCCTTTCAAAATACTTCTAATAGACTGATTTTAATCATTGACATAAACAATTTTTTCCTCTCATTTTTTTGAAACCAGAAAAATTTGTTACTAATTGATATTAATTCACTCTGATTTCTTGAGTACCTGCTAATTGTCATATTACACTCTTACATGTTTCGATTATAATGTTGAACAAGACTAGAAGAAATTAAATAGTAAACATGGAAAAATGGTTCAGATAGTGTTATGTACTAGGATGACAGCAGATCAGACTAATTTGGTAAGGGTTTACCTGTGGAAGAATGGGTAGATGGTCTGGAAAGACCTCTCTGGAATAGTGTTCCACTTAAGTTGGGAACTTATAATGGGAGCAGGGAAAACTGCCACACCTAGGATCTGAGTGAAGAGTCTGATGAGCGAGGAGAGTAATAACACCTGGAGGAGAACAAGCTTGACCCAGGCCAGGAAAGGAAAGATCAGTACAGCTATAGCTTAGTGTAGTGAGTGTGAGGAAATGATGTAATCTAAGAGCTAGACAGAACTGCACAGATTGTATCCCACTTGTGATGGAAAGTCTTTGGATTGTTTAACTGTAGGATGTGATCACAAAGAACTCTATGGAATTGAATTGTAGGGACACACGGGAGAACCAAAGTGATCTCTTAAACTTATTTTTTTAATATGCTTTTTAAGAGTTTATTTCACTTAATCATACTTGCCCCAGACTAATAAAATTTAAATCTGCTTAGTATTTATCTTATTTGTGATATACATGGTGAATATGCTTTAATTTCTTAAGTTTAGGTAGTTTTTAGTTATAAATCATGAATTGTGTGGTCAGTTTAAGGTTTTAATTGTTGTCCTGCATACTCCAGCATTCAGTATGTCAAATTCAGTAGCCTATGAAAATCATAATTAGGAAGGTACCGTTTCCCCAGCTAATCTTGCCACATATATTTAAATAAAACAACTGGTACCATTCCTTTTCTTTGAAGTACTATGTTGGATAATTCATACATTGCTCTTACCTCATTAAAAATAATTTTATATTTAGTGTTTTAACAGCACCGTTATAATTGAAGTTAGGTGTTTAGATTATCACTCTCCCCAACTCCCCCTTTTAACATAAGTTTTCACTGTGTTGTCCAAGCTGGCTTCAAATTCCTAGACCAAGCAATCTTCTGCCTCAATAAATCAAACAGCTTAGACTCCTGGCATGTACCACTTTACCTGCCTTACTTACCAGTCACTTAAACTAAGGCAATTCCATGTAGTGAAGATAGAGTTTACATTTCAGCTTTATTACTGCTGGAAGACAAATGTTTTATAAATATAATTTTTTTAAAGCAACATCTTTTTCCGCTTAAAGGCTATTCGTTTCCTTCACGATCTAGAACATATTGATATATTCTGGTGGATTCCTGTTAAGTTTATCTGGTTTTTTTGGGGGGGGATGTGGGAATTGTTTTGGGTTTTGAGAAGTTGTTTTTGTTTTTCAAATTTCTAGCTGTTTCCACTTGCAATAGTTCTTCACTTTCATCTGTTCCTTACTAAAGAACGGGCCTATCAGAGAGCTTATTCAGATTATGCTAAATACATACCAGTTTTAATTTGATGTTATTTATTTTATTGCCCAAGATCTACTTAAGTTGTACTTAACAAGATTGAATTTTAGACAATAAGACATGAGTTATAAGATAGTGTCCTGAATTTTTTTCAGTATATTTCTTTGTTTTTTCTTTTGCTATATGTGCTAAAAGTGACCTTTAAAGTTTTCATAACATGTTTATGATTTATAGGTCTCCTGCAAGCGCAAAATCTTTTAACGCAACTACCTCAGCAAAGCCAAGCCAACCTCCTACAGTCGCAGCCAAGCATCACCCTCACCTCCCAGGTCAGTTTCTCTTACCCTGTTGTGGGGAAAGTCTTTTGTACTTTATCTGAAAACAAAATCAAGACAAAACAACAGAAAGTAATAATCCAAATAGTCTCTAAAAACTGACCTAAAAATTCAAAGCTGGGCTTTTTAGTTTGGTAAAGCAGTGCTACCAAATTGATGTAATCTGAAAAGTTCTAAAGATTCTATATTTTCTTATAACTCATAAAAATATATATACAGATAGATATATTAGCAATAATGAACTGTGTCTCTTTGCTGTACACATGCCCATCCTGCAGTTGGCAGAAGATAGTACCACCTGAACCAGAAACCTGGTACCTCACCTTAAAACCTGTCATTGTCCTCAGAATCTGCAAAGAAGCTCAAATCTCTGCATTTGCTTTCCTCTCAGTGCTTGTGTGGTGTTTGGCTCATTTACACTATAGTATATAACTTCTGTAACGACATAAAAATCACAGTTCTTAAGCGTCTAGAAGTCATGGCTCTACCTCTGCTTCTTATCTAGCAGTGGCTTTGAACATACATGTCATTTTACTTCCCTGGATCTCATCTGTACATTAGTTGAATAAACTGGCTGATCCTAAATCTTTCCATGTCCAACTCTCTTTATCTAAAGTATAGAAGTTAAGGCTTAATATTGACACATTATCATAATTGACAAATTAACATTCATTTATAGTAAAAACTATTGCATTTTAGGAGAAGGTAATTTTTTATCTAATAAAGGACATCTACCCAAAAAAAGAGAAAAAACCCCACACTTAATAATCAGACTGAATTACCTTTCTTCTAAGATCGGAACAAGGTGAACACTTAACACATTTATTCAGCAATATACTGACAATTCTAGAAGTGCAGTAAGACAAGAAAAACAAATAAAGAAAAGATAAGAAAAAAGTGGGAAAAACATGCAAGTATGTATACAGGATAATTAAGATGATTATAATAATTTCCATCATTTTTTTTAAAATAGCAGTTAATATGTAGAATTTTCACCTTGACTAACTGTATACTGATATCTACGATCCAAGCAACAACATTGAGGACAGCAATGCATAATAGAAAAGCCATGCTTGACTAGCTCTCATCTTGGTCTTCTACATGTGTACCATTTCTAATGTCTTATAAATTATTATTATACTCTAGTTAAGATAATTTTTAGGCATAAAAAAAGACCAAAAAAATAAGATTTATTGAAAGCAAGTGGTAATATTCAATTGTCCAATCTTGCATAACTATATCTGTTAATCTGAGCAACAGATTTGATGATAAAAATAGATAATAGAGCAACCATTGTTAATTAGCTATTCTTGTTTTGAAAATCTGTAACATGTATGTTACCCTGTTTCTGTCTTTGTTTCTGCTATTTGTTTTTGCTTTCATTTTTACTCTTCAAAATAAAATTAAATTTAAAAGCGGAAGAAAGGACATACAGTGTCTTGCTATATGTTTTACTTCTTTAGAAAACAAGAACAACTAAAAACTATCCTAACGGGTAGATAGACAAGCATAATTGTCTATATTGAAAATCTTAGGGCACTTGAGGGGTGGGAGGACCTGCTGGAATAAGTGAGTTTAAAAAGTATAATGGATACAAACTCAATACACGAAAAGTATTTATATTTCTGTACACTAGCAGTGATCATTTGGAAATTGGAATTAAAGATAAATGTAACTTGGCCTAATCATAGACGTTAACTACAAAGGGCACAGGAAAACTTTTCATGGTGATGAAAATGTTCTATATCTTAGCTGTGTTAGTAGTTATATGACTGTGTTTGGTTGCCAGAATCCACCAAAAGTATGCATTTATAAATGGTGAATCTTTGAGTGTGCTAAATAGAAAGGTAAGGTTGGGGTTTGGGGTTTTTTGGGGTTTTTTTCCTTCTAAGTACTAGCAGTTAAATTTAGGGCCTTCACACTGAGCTACATCTCCAGTCATTTTTGTTTTGTTTTGTTTTGTTTTTGAGACAGGATCTCACTAAGTTGCCCAGGCTGGATTTAAACTTGCAATTTTCCTACTTCAGCTTCTGGGTGCTGGGATTATAGGTCTGGCCAAGGGTTGGGATTTGGGGTTTGTTTGTTTGGTACAGGATCTCGCTACGTAGCTCAGACTCATAGTGATCCTCCTGTCTCAGCCTCCTCAGAGCTGGGATTACGGGCATGCACCACTAAACCCGGTTTCAGGGTCAGCATGGCACCTGCACAAATTGCAGTACTGAGGAATCAAACTTGGGACCTTTTGCTTCCCAGGCAGGTACTTAGACTGTCGAGCTATCTCTCCAGCCCAGAGGTTGGGGATTTTGACAGATGCCTATATAATAACTTCCTTCCTGACCTATGTGCTCTGCAAACAGTGGCAAGTTTTTGTGGCTTTGTCCCAACTTCTGCTCACTGAATTCTACTTTAGTATTCCTAAATATATCTCAGTCCAGCCTGTGATTTTTAGATTTGGGGTATTTTATCTGTAGCCAGGAATGTAAAAGTAGCTAAGTTGTTTTTAGTCCTTTATTATTTGAGAACGTGGGTCCATGGAGCCTTGAGATGAAGTAACAGTCTCAACTCTACTTATTAACCAATTTTACTGTGGGAAGTGTATAGCCATGTAGGATTGTAGTAGGGTCGGCGTCTTTAAAATGGTCAGCATGAAAATTAGTCAGTGTTCATATGTCATAGAGATAAATGTTATTGTTTTCATTGAAGCAGGATGAGAGAAACTTGCCCTAGTTAATTGCCTATGGAATGTCTATTGTATAGTTTTCTGGGCTAGTTAGGCCCCTTGCAGAAAGCCTTGACTAATAAGGTCAAGTTCAGAGATACGTGACCAATCTAAATGACAAGAAGAAAAGTTAACAGCACAGGTGATCTGTATTCCTAGTATGTAATCTCTTACCTGGGTCCTATTCACAGGAAGGCTCAAACAAGCAGTGAGGATACATATCAGGATGGCACCTCCCATTAATGAATACTTAGAAAGAGATATGCTGCTTAGGGCTTCTGAGGAGACCTGTTTTATGTTTGTGTAATAAGATCTAATATTTTCTTTTCCTTTTTTTTCTTTTTGGCATCAGCAATCCAACTCAGGACCTTGTGCTTGCCAGGCAAGGCAGGTACTTGTGCCTCTGGGCCATATCCCTAACTCTTAATACTTTCTTTTAAAAAAAGGGGGACCCAGGGGAGGTTGGGAGTGTAGCTCAGTAATACAGCCTGTGCTTAGCATGCACTAGGCCCCAGGCTCAGTCCTCACCACCACCCCCTACCAAAAAAGAAAAAGCTTCATGTCCCAAAATAACTTTAGATGGATTTAAATAATTTCTTAAAATACAAAGAAAAGGTAGCAGGTTATCAAGAATTCTGTCAGGGTTAAAAATAAGTAAAGTTTTCTTAAGATTTGGACAACAGATGCATGGGGGGGGCACTTCACCTAAATGACAATCTAAAGTTTATGTATAATAAAAAAAGGAAAAAAGCAAATTGGAAAAAATATTTCTATTAATGTCACAGATAAAACCTTACTCTCAACATTTAGTGAGCTCATTTAGAATTAGAATAGGGGTATCAGTATATAAATGGAAATATATATATGTGTATATTTTATATATGTAAAAATGTATGTATTTTTATTAAAAGAGACAAATCTACTTCATAACCCAGTTGCTTTTTTTTTTTTTTTTGCAGTACCAGGAATTGAACTCAGGACCCTGCGCTTGCCAGGCAAGCACTTATTCTACTGAGCTATCTCCCTGGCCCCTCTAATTCATATTCATAATCCTTGGCACATTGGAAATTTTTACTTTGATTAATAATTGAAGCAGTAGCAAAAATGATGTATCATTTACTCTTTGATAAAACATTTTTTAAAGCTGCTAACAAATTATGTGGAGAAAACTACATTATATAGTAGGAACCAACATTATCAAAATTATCAAAAGCCATGAAATTACCCAGTTGCCAAAAAAATCCCTTGGGAATTTTTCTTAAAGAATTGGGGCCTTGGAGATGGCTCAGCAGAATAAGCACTTCCCTGGCAGGCACAAGGGTCTGAGTTCAACCCCCAGTTCCACCAAAAAGAAAAAAAAAAGAACTACATAGGTGGAAAAACACATGCACAGATTTTTTCATTGTGATGTTATCTGTGATAAATGAAAAACTGCATGGTAGTTAAATCACTAAATTATAATATTGCCCCACACAATCTTTGAAAAGGGTAATTATATATATCTTAATTATAGTTAAGGTTAAAATGTAGGTTTGTGGGGAAAAATTTAACAAATACTCCAAAATGATGCCACCTATAATAAGTTATTTAAATCACAGATTACTCCTCATCTGAAAATAGTTTAATAATTATCTTACCATTTTTATAATATAGTGTCACATGTTGGAGACACAATAGTGTTAAATTAAGTAAGGGGGTCCCTGCTGTTTTGGCAGTCTAAACTGCTATTTATAAAATAAATGTTTTAAAGTAATGAGTAATTTCTTAAAAGACCTATAATACATGTATTCAGACAAGTTAATTTTATTTTGTGTAGTTAAGTGTTTTCCCACGGCTAATTTACTTAGCCTTTACTATAATTGCAAGGGGCCGGGGAGATGGCTCAGTGGAATAAGTGCTTCTCTGGCAAGCACAAGGGCCTGAGTTCAATCCCTAGTTATGCAAAAAAAAAAAAAAACAGGTCCCTGATACTATAATTGCAGTGTAGTATCTGACAGTCTGCTTTCTCACTGCACATTATGTTGCACTCCCCATGGTATTACATGGTTTTCATCATTCTCTCTGAATAGAACTGTCTTTTTGCAGCACATTACAGTTGTATCAGTTGAAAAATATAGTGAACACTTATATTTTTAAAAATTTTTGCTACAATAAGACACTACTACTGATCTCCCTCAAAATTTCTCTCTCAGCTTGAACACACTGGCTCCATTTTTTTTACCACTTTCTGAAGCAGTTTTGGAAGTTCTCTTTGGTGTCTTTCATTGCACTGTCGGGATTGCCTAGAGTCCAGAATCAGTGTGGAATATTTACCTCTCATGCTCACTTTGGGGAAGATCAGGAGTTGCACGGAGCCAGATCCAGTGACTTGATGAGGACACACTGTACAGAATGTGTTTATGAGCTTGCCTTTCCATGGAATCATTGCACTTTATAAAGTTATTTGCAAAAGAGGATTTCCAGAATTACTTTAGAACATAGCTAGAATGATGAGATACGTGTGTTTGAAGCAAGGGGCACTATTTTGAGGGGAATGAATGGCATGTTGCTTTTACTCTAAAGGTTTTTTTTAACCTAAATATTCACACTGTATTTTGATCATACAATGTGTGTTTATTACTCTACTCCTTCTCCAACAGCCAGCAACCCCAACACGCACAATAGCAGCAACCCCAATTCAGACACTTCCACAGAGCCAGACAACACCAAAGCGAATTGATACTCCCAGTTTGGAGGAGCCCAGTGACCTTGAGGAGCTTGAGCAATTTGCCAAGACCTTCAAACAAAGACGAATCAAACTTGGATTCACTCAGGTAGGATGGTGGTGATGCTACCCTTACTAGATGTCCCACATTGCCTGGGTTCAAATGTTTGCTTTACATGTCTAAAGGAGCAGTGGTCCTCAGTCATGTTGTATTTTGGTTTCAGAGATAGGTACTTTTATTAGTAATTTAACATTTATAACTCCAGGATATTACACAATTATAATCATACAGTCATTTTTAATTTTATGTTAGGTTAAACTTTCAAGCCTTATCCCACAGTGCAAGCCTCTGAAGTCATAATTGTATGTGAAAGTTTAAAGATGTTATGTTAGGGGATGATATGGCTAAGTTTTGTTATTTGAGGAACATCTGGTGCTATATACCTAAGATGAAGAAAGTAAATATCTCGAGGTCTTAACAGTAATTGAAAGGGAATATGTTTGAAAGGCTTATTTTAAAACAGGCTTTGTGGGGAGAAGGGGTAGTGATAGACTCTGTCTGCCTCCCTCTCTATGCTGAAAACTCCCCCAGCCTATGCTGAAACTAATTAATTAAGATTTATTGAAGATGAAAAATTCAAATTAATCAAAATCAAATTAATTTTTCTACTGTCAGCTATCAGAAGACTTTTAAAGTGGAAAGAATATGCTTCAGTGGTTTAAACAGGCATCTGGGTACACAGTATTTTTATTTTAAGCACTGCTACTGACTTATTCCTTGATTAACCTGTCACAAATAATAATTGTAAACCAGGAAAAGAATTAAAGTAAATGACATTTATACAGAATGTCATAAGATTATTAAATGAAAGAAAAAACTTGAAGTATGGGTTGGATTGGGCTTATTTATGGATACTCAGGAAAAAACTGATACTTTTCAGAAAATATAGTTACTATTTGGAATTTAACCCACCACTTAAATACTATCCAAATGATTTTCTTGAACATATATATAGCATAGAACTTAACTGATAGATAAAAACTGAGGATAATATCTCTGCTTATATCCTGGATGTTTTTAGAAATAGATTTATATTTCTTATGGTTTCTTCAGGAATTCATTTTTGTTCAAAGAAGCTGTGTATTGAAAGCATAGGGTAATGTTTAAAATAGATGTAATTTTAAGTGAAATGCAGTTTCATTTTTTGAATAGTTTCAGGTATAGAAAAAGTATAAATCATCAACCATTTGTTACTTTTGAAGCATTTAAATGATCTGACTTGTTTTAAAAATAACTCATGGGGCCAGCAAGATAGTTTAGTGGCCTGAAGCACCTGCTTAGGCAAGTTTAGACAAGTGCAGGGACCACAGATATCCAGCACTACATGCTGCACCAGCTCTGCCTGAGGGCCGGCTGAGCTGGCCAAAAAAACAAATAAATAAAAATTTTTCAAAAATAAAACTAGAGTTATAGGCATAATAAGATAAAATAAATATAGAGCTGGCATATTTAGCAGTGCTTCAGATTTAAGCTATTAGCACAGCATACATTTGAGTTTCCTAGGAGGTTATTACCCAAGTGCTACATTAAGGATATGAAGCCTTTTAAAAATTACTGAGGCCAGCCAAATAGCCCAGAGGATTAAAGCACCTGCTTAGGCAGATGCAGGGGCCTGGAGTTTGATCCCCAGGTCTGCCGTGCAGGCCCCACCCCTGGGCCATGCTGAGACAGCGATTGAGACTGGGCGTGGTGGCATTTGCCTGTAATCTCAGCATTTGGGAGGCTGTAAACAGGAGGATCGCTATGAGTCCAATCTATGCAGTGAGACCCTGTAGTCCCTGTCCTAAATAAAAAAAAAAAAAAAAAAAAAAATTAGCATTTACTCAAATAGTAGTTTGCCCTGTTGTGATGTTTGACCCAATATATTGTCAGTAGTATATGTGCCTCTATCTCTTTCTGTCTTTCCACATTAAGGAGTTTCCTGTCATCTTGTGATTTACTTTATGGCTTTATGCTTCTTTTCCCCATCCCTCTTCAGCACTGAAGATTGAACCCAGGGCTCTCATACTGTGCTGTATCCCCAGCCCTTTTTAAATTTTACTTACTTTGACACAGGGTCTTGCTAAGTCACTAAGTTGCCCAAGCTTGACTCAAACTTGTGACTGTTCTGCCTCGGCCTCTCAGAGTGCCAGGATTGTAGGCATGCATATCACACCTGGGTTTTTTCCCCTATTTTTACCATGACCACTCTTTAATTTTCTTTTCATTTTTCTTTTTTCTTCTTCTTCTTTTTTTTTTTTTTTTTAATGATGCCAAAAGTTTATTTGAAAAGTGAGGAGTGGAGGAAGGAGGGGTAAGGGAAAAACTGGCCCTGTATAGCAAACAGGGGCCAAACATCAGCAGAAAGGATAAAAGCAAAAGTAAATATATACACCATTTTTGAGAGGCACAGGTTGAGCAACTGTGAAAAGTCATGATAGTGAGCTCCTCGTGGGCTCCATGTCCTTATATGTCATCTGCATCTTGTGAATGCCCACAAGAAATTTTTTCTTTTATTGGTACATTTTAGATAATGATAACATCCATCATAAGGAATTGGTACCTGTACGTGATACATCTTGATTCTTTTTCCTATTCCCCTTCCCTCCCTCCAACCCACTCCCCCTCCCTACTTACAAAAGCTTTGTTTCCATTATTTCCTTCTATTCTCTTTTTTTTATTCTTTCCTTCCTTTTGCCCTCATCCCTCCTTTGTTCCTCTTCTCATCTGAACATTTTCTTCCCACTTCTCAATGTTCTTTATACATTTTGATCCTTTTTTGTGCTTTTATTTTCTCACATCATAGTAACCATGCAGTATTTAAACATGTGTGTCCTATTTCTTTCACTTAGGAGTATGGTGGGCTCAAGGTACATACATTTACCTACAAATTTCTCAAGTTTATCCTTCTTGATTGCAGAATACCACTCCCTTATATCATCCTTGTCCATTCATTGGTTGATAGATACTTGGACTGTTTCCAAGATTTAGCTATTATAAATGGTGCCACTATAAACATAGGTGTGCATATCCTGCTGTGTTATGATGCTTTTAATTCTTTCAGGAAGATACCAAGAAGGGGAATAGCTGGGTCAAATGGAACCTCTAGTTTTAGTTTTTTGAGGAATCTCTGCACTGATTTCCGTAATGATTGCACCAATGTACATTCCCAGCAAAAGTAGAAAAGCATTCTTTTTTCCAGACAGCCCTGCCAGCATTTGTTATTAGTTGGTTTCTTAAGAATAGCCATTTTTTCCTGCACCCACTCCTTAATTTTCAAAATAACTGATAGTAGTGGCAGTGGTTCATACATCTTGACTGTACTTATTAGTCTTTGTTTTTTAGTTAATTACTTTAATTATAGTTATTCAAAGGTGGCTTTGAGTACAAAAAATACATTTGTACTTATATGCCTGTGTACAAGAGGAAAATTAAACATTCAACTTGTTGAAGCAAATCTCTATTTTCTTAGAAATACATGTTATTAGATGTTTTAAAGTTATTTTCTAATTACAACATTGCTTGTTAAAGGATTACTGCAGCTGTCATTACATAATTAGAAAGCATGTTATAGTATCATTATTCCTTATTCCCAGTCTTGGCTTCTTATTCCTTTTATTCTTTTTAAACATATCAAAGGATATAATGTGTGAATCAGCTGCTTACAGTTAACTTTGTAGGGAAAAATCCAGGAGTTACAGAGCACTAAACCAATTCATAAGTTAATGAGTATGAATATATTAACTGAAGGATCTGTTGCTTTTTATTCCATTAAACAATCTAAAAATGATAATGAGGGCTGGTGAGATGGCTCAGTGGTCTAAAGCACCTACTTAGAACAAGCTTAGCAAAGCACAGGGACTGCAGTTCAATCCCCCAGCCCCACATGCCAGCCAGCCCCGCACCCTGGTGGGCTGAGCTG